GCTGAGGACGAGGAGATGGCCGACGTCGGCAGCGACAGCAGCCCGCAGCCTGGCGGCGACGGCGGCGACTCCGAGCTGGCGGCGGCGGCCAATGTGCTCAATGCCGCCAAGTTCGCAGCCTCGCGTGCGGCACGCGCAGCAGCGGCAGCTGGCGTGGCCGCCTCGGCGGGCCCTCCCGCCTTCCCGCCGAGTGCAGCGAGCCAGGAGGCAGGAGACGCCCCTCCTGCTGGAGGCGGCCCCGCCTCCCCGTCGGCCGCGGAGGCCCCTGCCCCCCCTGCCGTGGCCTGACAGGCAGCCGCGGGTCGGGCATGCTTGACGCGGGCCCCTGGGAGCCCGACCCGCGCAGGCCTGAACGCCTCCTCCGCGTCCGCCGTTCCAGGTGACGAGGAGGCGCAGCAGGCTGAGGGGAATGAGGTTGCAGCAGGGGCTGCCGACTTCGAGTTTTGTGGAGGCGGTGGCCATCGATTATTCTTTGCGAATGTCACGGAGATGGGACCGCAGGCATGGGGATTCGTAGGGGAATCGCTGAATCGCTTCGGCACGTTCAGCTTCGTCGAGACCCACGTGCACGCTGGCCACTTCGAGAAGTGGCGACGGGAAGCCAAGAAGCTCGACCTGAATATCATGGCCAATCACGCGCGGCCCTCCAGGCGTGGTCTGCTGGAAGGCACTGGCGTCGACAGCGGCACCGAGGGAGGAGAGCGGCTGCTGTTTAGGCGCGGCCTCCACTTGCACACGCTGGAGGGCAGCGGTGACCGCGCGCTGGCCGCCCCTGGTGCCGAGTCCGCCGACGGCTTCCAAGCCAGCGTTCTCCACCTCAAGGGCAACAGGCAGGTGGTCGTGGTCACTTTCTACGGCGTGAGCGGGGTCGGCTGGCGCGGCAGCAACCTGCGGCGCTTCGGCAAGCTCGGCGCCCTGCTCCGCGCCGTCAAGGCGCCTTGGCTCGTCATCGGTGACTTCAACCTGCCGCACCAGACCTTGCAGCAGGCTGGTTTCTTGCGCCGCATCGGCGCGCAGGCGGTGCAGGCGGACGTGACGACCACCTGCGACGCGGGCCAGCACGGCTCGCACGTCGACTACGGTTTGTGCTCCGCTGCCTGCGCCCCGCTGCTGGCAGGCATCTGGGCCACCGCTGCAGTCCCTTGGAAGACGCACTGCGGCCTCGTGGTGCAGTTTCGCTCCAGCCAAGCCGCCCTCCTGGGTCGGCAGCTGGTGATGGCGAAGGGCCTGCCTCAGGTGGCGAAGCGGCCGCGTGCCGAGGCCCCCCGCGGCCGCCGCGCCAAGCAGCGAGGTGACGACGAGCGACGAGCCCTCGCCAGGCAGAAAGAGCTGGAGCTCCATTCCCAGCTCTACGGCGACCATACCCAGAACCGCACCTTCGATGGCATGTCCACCTGCTCGGGCTCCGAGGGCGGCGACAGCAGCGATGAGGACTCGGAGGACGCCTGGGAGCCCCCTGCAGCAGCGGCGGGCTTGCCCCCGCAGGCAGCGGCACGGTTTGACGACAGCGATGTGGACCCCTTCGAGTGCCTCGACGCCGAGCTCGACGCGGACCACGTGCTGGAGGTTAGCGACGTGCAGGCAGTCATTGGGGCTGCGCCGCCTGGAGCAGATGAGGGTGAGGGTCCCGCCGCGTCCGCAGCGCCTGCGGCCGTGGGCTTGCAGGGAGGCCCGCGAGGTCAGGCCTCGGCTTCCCCGCCCAGGGCCGGCCCCGTGACCAGCCGATAGGCCAGTGCGAGCCTGCCTGGCTTCGCTATCGACGACGCGACGTGGCACGGCACCGCGGCCGCTCCCAGGCCCGTCGTGGAGCCGCTGGAGTGCAGCGCGGCTGAGTCAGCCGCCTTTCTAGTCGGTGGAGCCCTGATGCCCCAGCTCAGCACCCAGTACGGGAAGTGGGCCGAGCACGCGGAGAGGGCCATCTACACACATCACGGATGCAGTGCAGTGGGGCGCATGTCGCGCAGTTCAGAGGCGCGGCTGATCGAGTGCAAGTACACGCCGAGCGCGACGACCAGGCTGGAGCCCATTCGCGGAGCGGCAGTGCGCTGGTGGTCCTCGGTGGCTGCTCTGCTCTCCAGGGTCGGCAAACTTCGGCGCCGCAGCAAGCAGGCCACTGATGATCGGCGGCTACTTGCTGAGGCTGGACGGGAGCTTCGCGATCGCGTCATTGCCAAAGCCCGTCGCTGTTTCCTGGCTGGCCGTGCTGGCACGCGCCGAGGGGCTCGGCCCCAGCGGCAGCAGCAGCGGCGACCTGCGCCGCGGCAGTCCCAGCAGCAGGCTTCAGCTCGCCCCCCTTCGCCCGTGCACCTCAGCGGACGTCGCCCACCTGGAGAGGACGGCGAAACCGTGTCACCCCCTGGAGGCGAGAGCGGGGGCGAGCAGAGGAGTTTCAAGGCGTTGGTTGCGAGCTTGGGTGACGTGCACGCCATCTCGGACAGCAGCTTGGCGGCCTTCGAGGAGGCGGCCCTTGCAGCTGCAGCGCGTGCCAGGCAGTCGGCGGTCCACGAGTCCCTGCGGCAGCTTCGGCAGTGGATCAGCACGGAGGAGGCCACGCCGTTGGTCTTCCGCTCCCTGCGGGAGCGGCACTTGGCAGCAGACGAGGTCCTGGTGGGCAGCAGCATCCTGGTGCACCCCAGCGCGATCCTCGACCACAAGGCGACCTTATGGGAGAAGCTGTGGTCGCCCCATCCCGTCAGGCGCGAGGAGGTTCTTGACTTGTTCGAGGGCCTCCGCGAGCAGGTGCAGTACGAGGAGCTGGACCGCGTTGCGGTGGCCGACATCCGCAACGCCCTCCAGCGCATGCGGCCCCAGACTGGCAAGGGCGTGGACCAGTTCACGGTGCTGGACTTGGCGAGGCTGCCCGACCCTGCGCTGCAGGAGTTGGCTGACCTCTTCACCTCTGCAGAGCGGGCCGCTTGCTGGCCCAAGCAGCTCCTCTTGGTGCTGGGCCACGTCCTCGAGAAGAAGGGCGGCGGCGAGCGCATCATCGGGGTCCTCAGCATGGCCACGCGCTGCTGGAGCATGATCCGCGAGGAGAGCATGCGTGACTGGGCGAGGCGCACGGCCCCAGCCTGGGACGCCGCCGTCGCGGGCAACTCGGCGCTCCGCGAAGCCTTCGCTCGCGCCGTGAGCGAAGAGGCCTTCGCCGCCATGGGCGCCTTGCACGGCCACGGCCTGATCGACGTTCAGAAGTTCTACGACAGCATGCCATGGACGGGGCTCGCTCAGGCGGCGCTCCGTTGCGGGTTTCCGCCCGCGGTACTGGCGTTGGAGCTGCAGCAGTGCATGGCGGGCAGGGTGCTCTTGCAGGACGGCATGGCCTCCCGCCTCGTGGTCCCGTCCCAGTCGGCGGTGCAGGGCGTCAGGTCGGGCACGAGGTTCGGTCGATGCATGACGTACCATACGCTGCAGCAGATGGCCATAGCCATAGGGTCGCCCCAGCTTTTGCCCTCGCGAATCTGGGTAGACGACCTTTCGGTGTCCTCCGTTGGCACGCGCCAGCCCGTCGTCGACGCCGTCCCGAAGGGCATCATCGACTTCGGCTCGGGCATGCAGAAGGCTGGCTTGCAGATTTCCCCCAAGAGCGTCGCCGTCTGCTCGCAGCTGGAGGACGCACGGCGCATTGCCCAGGTCGTCAAGCAGCGCGGCCTCGCCGTCCAGGCGGCGAGCCACGGCGCCTGCCTCGGCGTCGACCTTGCAGCGGGCCGTCGCCCAGCTCGCCGCACGTTCAACAAGCGCATGGGCAAGTCTCGCATCGCGAACGGCCGTCTGTGAGGCATGGCCCGCGCCTCTCGGCAGTACCAGAAGTGCGGGTTCGTCGAGAGGGTCGGGCTGCAAGCGGCGGCAACTTACGGGCACGAGATCTTCGGCGTCTTCGGCAGCAGGCTTGCGGAGCTCCGCCGAAGGCTTGCTTCAGTCTCAGGTGCTTCTAGGCGAGGACGCTGCCTCACCACGCAGTTGACCCTCCGCGCTGGCCCCCTCGACCCTGCCAGGCGCCTGCCTCGCGCCCTGGTCAAGTGCTGGTTCGAGGTCTGGAGGGGCAGCCAGGAGTTGAGGAGGCGAGTGGCGCGGGCCTGGATCCCGATCCACAGTCGGCTCCGCGAGGCGGAGCCCGAGCGCAGGTCGAGACTGGTGCGAGGCCTTGTTTCCGCCCTCCATGCCCTCCTCCTGCAGCACGGCTGGGTGCCCGTCGGCCCGATGGGCTGGGAGCGCGGCCTGCAGGACGGCTCTCGAGAGCGGTGGGCCTTCCCCGACGTGGCCAGCATCACGGACGGCTCCTGCAAGGCCGTCCTCGACGCGCTCGACGACTCCATCCAGGAGGACTTGTGGCAGAGAGTTGCCACGCGCTGGTGCCGCGCGGGCCTGGAGGAAGGTGCCGACCTTCGGTCCCTTCAGGCCCACCTGCAGCGGCTCAGGCGTCTTCCTGGAGGACCTGCGCTCGAGGAGCTACTCGCCACCATCGCGGTGGGTGGAGCCTGGCCGAGGTCGCGCAAGAAGGAGACCTTCGGCGACATGGAGTGCGCCAGCTGCCCACGATGCGGTGGCGAAGAGGAGACACCCTTCCATCGGTTCTGGAGTTGTCCCTGCAACGTCGGCAGCAAGGCCTACGACGACAGCAGCGAGCTCCTGCCCCGCGCTGCCGCGGACCAGGAGGCGCACGCGGCCTTCTGGCTCCGCGGCATCATCCCACGCAGCTGGACTGAGGTCGCCGCCCCTCGCGACCACGACCTCTGGGCGCTCTTGGACGGCCAGCCGGCCGTCGCTCTGGCCCCTGGTGCTTTGGGGCAGGGAGGGCACCGAGGAAGCCCCGCTCGTCCTCTTCGGCGACGCCAGCGGAGGGCCAGAGGGGCAGGACCCTCATCTCCGTCGCGTGGGCCTGGCAGTTGCTCGAGTCCACCTGGTCGACGGAGGTCTCGAGCAGGCAGCGTGGGGCGGCCTCAGCGGCAGCACGCAGACCGTCCATCGAGGAGAGCTGCGGGCGCTCGTGCTCGCCGCGCAAGGCTCCCTCGGCCACACGGTTTACATCTCGGACAATCTGGCCGTCTGCGAGGGCTGGTGGAGGCGTCGTGACCTGCAGCCGCACGGCGACGACAGCGACCTGTGGGGCCTCCTCGCGCAGACCTTCAGCATCAGGAGCGGGCCCAGATCGGATTTCGTCGTGGAGCACGTGTACTCGCACCTGGAGATGGCCGAGGCTTTCAGGATGCGGATCCCCCCCTGGCTGGTCGTCGGCAACGCGGTTGCCGACGCCTTGGCTGGCGCAGCGGCGGATGCAGTTCGCGTCGCTGGCCCTGAGCGCGCTCGTGTCCACCAGACGGAGCACGTGGCCACGCTGGTCAGGAGGAGGTTGCTGCGAGCCACCCTCGACGCCATCGAAGCGGAGAACGGCCTGGATCCTTCAGTGCGGCGAGCCAGGAGGCGGAGGCGTGCTCCCCCTGCAGCTCGCCTGGTCGCTGCCTACAGCACGTCCCATGTGCTGGACAGCCACGGCAGCTGCACGAGGTGCAGGTGCTCATCGTCACGGTCAGCCCGATCGCAGTGGCTGGAGGCGCGGTGCCCTGGTTTGCAGCGCGACGGGGCCCACGCGCTCAAGCTGGCCGATGACGACGTGCACATCGGCGGCGGCCGCCCGCACTCCTCGCATGTGATGCGGCTGCACCAGAGCCTCGACGTTTGGTTCTGCCTGAGGTGCGGGTTCTTCACGGCGGCCGCTGGCCGCCTGCTGGGGCGAGGTCTCCGCTCGAGCTGTCCTTTGAACCCCTCGAGGACTGGGCGAGACTACCTCCAGCGGATCGCCCGCGGCCTTTGGCCGAAGGCCGCTGGGCGACGCCGGTTTGCCCGCGCTGGGGAGGGCATCCTGCTCGGCCCCAAGAAGCAGGCCGCCCGCCGCCGTGCCGCGCGTGCTGGCGCTGTTCGTGCTGCAGCCGCCTCGGGGCAGGCGGTCCAGCCCTTGCCGAGGGAGCTGGCGGCCCTGGGTGCTGCTCCTGCCCCCTCCGACGTCGGCGACTCCCTCGCGCTCGACTGCGGCACGGCAGACCCGAGGAGGCCAGTCCCGCTGGGAGCGGCCTCCTCGGGTCCAACGACTTCCACTGACCGTTGGCCGCAGCCTGTGATAAATTGCGGCAGACACGAGAATGATGCGGCGGAGACCGCCACGAGTGGGGAGCCTGCATCGGGCTCCCACTCTCCCTGTCCTGCTGGGGATCGTGCTGAACTTCTTCACCGTGGCGACGGTGTCTCTCGAGCTGGACCTCCCTTGGCAGGGGCCCCAGTCAAGAAGTTGAAGGCGTTCGACGAGAAGGTCCGCTGGCTGCTCGACGCGGCCCGCGGCAAGCGCCTCAGCTCCGACCTGGACGTGACCGAGGCCCGAGTCGAGATCACTCCTCGGGCCACTGGAGACAGCTGCGCTGGGAAGCGCAGGCGGCTGGGCCACCCTGCGGCCGCCTTGGCCCGCCCCCGCCTCGCCGCGGAGGGAGCCGCCGACGGAGCTCCACCCGCCAAGCGGCCGCGGGCCGACGCCGTGGCCAGCGGGCCCGAGGCGGAGCGGGCCGCTGTGCTGCTCTGAGGCCGCTGGCCCTCCGCCGCCTCGGCCGCGGCCCCGCGGCCTCGGAGCCGCAACCGAGTCGCGCGCGCCTCGACGCGCGCGTCCTCGGAGCGCCCTCAACCTCAACCTCAACCTCCTCCCCTCTTCTACGTCTCCTCCTCCTCCTCTCTTCCTCCTCCTGCTCCTCCTCCTGTTTCTGCTCCTCCTCCTTCTCCTCCTCCTCCTCCTTGTCCTCCTCCTCCCCCTCCTCCTCATCTTCGCCTCGTCTACTTATCTCCTCCTCCTCCGCCTCCTCCTTCTCCTCTCTTCTACCTCTCTCTCTTCTCCTCCTCCTCCTTCTCCTCCTGCTCCGTCTCTTCCTCCTCCTCCTCCTCATCCGTCTCCTCTGTTCTATGTATGTCCTTATTGTATTCATATTTCTCCTCCTGCCCCTCCTCCTCCTCCTCGTTCTCCTCCTCCTCTTCATCCTCCTCCCCCTCTTCTCTTATACTTCTCTCCTCCTCCTCCCCCCACTCCTCTTCCTCCTGTTGTTCCTCTTCCTCATCCTCATCGTCCTCCTCATTCTCTTCATCATCATCAGAATCAGCATCATCAGCATCATCATCATCACCATCATCAGCATGAGCATCACAATCATCACCACCACCACCATCATACTAATCATCATCATCATCACCATCATCAACATCATCAACCTCATCCTCTTCGTTATCATGGCCATCATCATCAGCAGCACCATCATCACCAGCATCATCAGCATCACCATGATCGTCATCGTCAACATCATCATCATAATCGTCAACACCGTCATCATCAGCATCATCACCAACAGCGTCGTCATCACCGTTGTCATCACAATCATCTTCTTCAGCATCACCAGTATCATTACCATCACCATTACCATCATCAGTATCGTCATCATCATCATCATCATCGTCATCATCATCATCGTCATCATCGCCATCATCTTCGTCACCGTCATCATCACCACCACCAGCATCATCATCCCCACCATCAGCATCGACATCAGCATCACCATCATGAGCATCAACATCAGCATCATCACCATCAGCAGCAGTGTCATACATAGCAGCATCACCATCATCGTATTAATATGCATCACCAGTATCATCATCAACATCAGTATCATGATCCTCAGCATCGTTATTATTATGATAACCATCATCGTTATTATCATCAGTATTGGCATCATCATCATCGTCATCATCACCGTCATAAGCATCATCATTCGCATCATCAGCATTATCATCACAATCCTCTCTTCTACTTCGCCTCCTCCTCCTCCTCCTCCTTTTCCTGCTCTTCCACTTATCTTCTTTTCTCCTCCTCCTCGTCCTCCTTCTCCCCCTCCTCCTCCCGTTTCTCCTCCTTCTCCTCCTCCTCCTTCTCCTCCTCCTCCTCCTCCTCTCTTCTACTTGTTTCCTTCTCCTGCTCCTCTTCCTCATCCTTCTCCTCCTCCTCGTCCTCTCTGCTACTTCTGTCCTCTTTATCCTTCTTCTCCTTCTCCTTCTCCTTCTCTCTTCTACTTCTCTCCTCCTCCTTCTCCTTCTCCTGTTTCTTCTCCTCCTCCGCATCAGCATCATCAGCATCATCCTCATTATCAGTATCGTCCTCAGCATTAGCCTCAGTATCATCATCAGCATCATCATCAACATCAGCAGCAACAGCAACGTCATCATCACCATCATCATTAACATCATTATTACCATCATCATCATCCTCCTCCTCCTCATCTTCATCATCATCATCGTCATCATCCTCATCATCATCATCATCATCATCATCATCATCACCATCATCATCATCATCATCATCGTCATCACCGTCATCATCCGTATCATCACAAACAGTATTACCATCATCAGCAGCAGCAGCATCACAATCATCGTCCGTAGCCATGTTGGCTCAAGTACGAACCACTGGCCCTGGTGGTTCGTGCTTGTGTGCAGCCAACGGGCCGGCTCGAATGCCCCGAGTTCCTGGCATCAGTTGCCAATTGCACAGCCTGCTCGAGCTGCCAAGCCTTTCAAGGTTTTCTCGTTCCAGCGGCGCACAATGTTCCGTCTCGGCAGCCGCGCATTGGCATGGGAGGCAATGGTTGACTTGGAGGGCAGGACGGGTTCACCAAGTGCTCGAAGTGTCAGTGCAGATGGACGTAGAAGACCCGCTCGAGCTGCTTCAACGGCGGCCACTGCCTGGCCCCATCCGCCTCGCCCGCGAGGGCGGCCGAGGGCGTGTGCGCCGACAAGGGGCCCGCGGGACCTGGCGCCTCCAGCGGGCGCGGGAGCAGATCGTGCAGCCGCCCGCCGTGGCGCGAAACCAAGGGGTGTGGCGACGGCGGCAAGGGGGGCAAGGCCGTCGTCAAACTCGCGCGGGAGGAGACGCTGCTGGACACCCTCCAGCGCCGCAAGGAGGAGCTCCCAGAGGCCGCCACCAAGGCCCTTGAGGGACTGGCCGCGGCGCTGCAGCCCGCCCCCGCCGTGCCCAAGCCCGAGCTGCCCGACGAGGCCGTGCAGCGCGCTTGGGGTGCCGCCAGACGGGCAACCAGGGCCCGCAGCGAGGCCATGGACGCCACTGAGGCAGCCCGCGTGTGGCCCGACCAGTGCCAGGAGCGCGAGGACGAGCTCGCCGTCGAGTACGCCGCGGCCCTCGAGGAGCAGACGCGCGCCATCGCGCACGCCATGGGCTGCTTGGAGAACTGGGACCAGCCGGCCACAGCTCCAGTCTCGGTCAACCTCTCCTCGGTGCTGGAGGGCCGCGAGGGGCCTCTGCTTCGAGCTCAGGTCCGCCTTCGACCTCGACGCCATTACCCTCGCCCCGAAGGGGCAAGCGGACTGGGACGCCACCCTCGAGAGGTTCAAGGCGGACTTCTCCAATCAGGTGGAGAGCGTGCTCAAGCCCGCGGCGGACGAGCTCGAGATGCGGCGCGAGGCCCGCAAGAAGCTGCAGGAGGACTTCCGCCCGAGGACCAAGAAGCGCCGCATGGAGTGCGAGGCTGATCGGCCTGACCTGTGTGCGTGCGTGTCTGTGTGTGTCTGTTTAGTATGATCGGGGTTCCGCGGGAACGGTCACGGGGCGCCTCACGCGCACTTTGAGCTGCAGCCTTGTTATTCGTGTTGACGGTTGACGACGCAGAGACTTGGACAACTGCAGTCGCAGGTTGAACCCGATTCGTCGGGGACCCATAGCTATTTGCCGAGCAGGAAGCGAGGCTCACGAACATGTTAAGCGGCCTCCTCGCCCGCATCCTCGAACTTTCCTCGTCGACACCCGCTCTTTGTTCCTTACAGCTTTCCATGCCCTCACCCTTGCCCTCCTCCTCCTCCTCCTCCTTCTCCCCCTCCTCCTCCTCACCTTTGCGCCTGCTGGGCCACAGCGCGTCCGTACCCGTCCGCGCGACCCCCGTAAGTATCGAAAGGCGCTTGCAATGCGCTTAACAGGCTCAGCAAAGCGTCAGGGTGTAGAGAGTGGCGTCAGGCGTGCAGTGATACCCTCGCAAGACATGGGAGTCCTAGGCCCAGTCCCGTCACGTCCTCTTCCCCCCCACACCCGCGATGTAGAGCGTGATGAAGTCTCGAAGGCCGCCGCTCACATCGATCCCCATCCCCACCCCCACCCTCGCCGCCACTGAAGGCAAGCACTGAAGGCACACAAGCCTCTAAAGGCAGTCCACATGTTCATTCACATTGAGGCGAAGCTGTGTTTGGCCTTAGTGACCCCAGTGACCTCACCGCCAATCGCGCTCGCACGATCGCCCTCGCCCTCATCCTAGCCGCGGGGCTCCGGAGGTGCCGCATGTCTCCAGGCGCTGATGGGGCTGCGGGGAACCTGCTCGCTCCGAGCGAGATGAGAGAGTGACGGCGGAGGCGTTCTCATGCGAATTGGTTCGGGACGGCGAGTTTCTACAGGTGGCGGCGTGGAGGGCGTGGTGAAGTGTCGCCACCCTTGGCATACATGACGCGGCCGTCTGGGACGTGGCTGCTCCTCTGGCCATGAGTGCGATTGTCGATCGTTCGTTCCATGGGCACCCGGTACTGCTTATCCAGCATTTCCATTTGACTGCCAGGATTGCCATTGATCACCACGCGGTTCATGCTCTCGCTCTCTCAGCCCACATTTTCGCCCACTCGGCATCTCATCGTGTGTGTGCCTCGCCCCCTTCCCCCCCTCCGCCCTCTCCCCCCCTCCCCCCCGTTCTCTCTTCCTTTCAGTCATCCCCGCATCGGCGCATTTTGTTCCCGATAACCGTGCAACTGAAGCCGTTCGGGCTGAAGCCGTACAGCTTCAGGCGTCCAGCTCGCGCCCCCCGTTTTTTCTACACGCGATCGTTCCCCGACGGGTGGCGGCCACCCTCAACCGTTGCGCCACCATGATGATTCCTCTCGCTTCGCGGGGTGCGCGTCTGGAGCGTGTGAAGTCTGGGCGTTGCGTGGCTTTGTGGTCGCCTCTCGGAGGCCTCAGTGGTGCGCCGTAATACTGGTTCTGCCGTGTTGGCATGGCCATGAAAGTCTGTCGGAGGCCCTTTTTGGTGTCCTCTGGGGGCTCCTTGAGGCGTCTTCAGCCATCTTGGGCCGATTTGGGCCACCCTTGGGTGTGTGCAGGGGGGGCCTCTTGGGGCCGTTTTGGGCCGTCTTGGTACCATCTTAGGCCGTCGTGAGGCTGTCTTGGGCTGCCACGAGTCCATCTTGGGCCAGTCCGTCTTGACCGTCGTTTGGGAAGCAACTTCTAGGGGTTTTGGGCCGTGTCTGGGAGGAGTTTTGGCCTCCATCCTGGACCGGCGTTGGCCGTCTTTGGCAAGAGGGCCCCATGGCTTAGCTTTCCTGATTCGCCCGTGTTGAAACGCAACACTTACAGTGTTCGAAACGTACGTGTTAACACGTTGCGTATTGGCTCGGCACGTGTTTGTCCACGTTTTGGCGAACGTGTCGTGCCAACCGTACGTTTTCAGTGGACGTGTTGCACTCCGTGTCAACACGCTACGTGCTGCGTGTTTCCCTTGTCGGGGCAGCTAAGCCCCAGGGGGATCTCTGGGCCCCGGGGGCCCGTTTCCACTGGGCCCCGGTGGACATGTCCCCCCCTCCCCCGAGAGCCCCAGGGTCCTTCCGACGGGCTCCTCCGTTTCCACTGGAGCTCCATGGAGGCGGGTCTCGAATCCACGCCCCATCCACCAACCTCCGTTGTTGAGGCTCGTTTCCGTTGGGCCTAGTTGTCAGAGGAGGAAAAGGTACCCACACGCTACCCCCGCCTCGTTTTCCCCTTGTTGGGTCTCCTGGGAAGCCCTCGTCGCCACCGTTGGATTCGCCACGGAATTCTCGGCAGAACGCACCCTGGAGAGGTCTGGGGAATTGCGATATCCGTACCTTTTGGTTTCCCAGATTGGAATTGACCCCTCCTTTGGGCCCAATATCCCATGGACATAGTTCTTGAGTCCACGCCCCGTCCGCCAACCTCGGTTGTTGAGGGCCATGATTGGGGCCTTCTTTGGGGCAGCTTGAGCCGTGCTGAAGACCTCCGATGCCGTCTTTGAATCCTCTTGGGCTGCCTTGGAGAATTTGTTTGCCATTTGGGCTGGACTTGGGGGGAGTATTGGCCCGCCATCGGTTTTCAGATTTCCGCACAGGCCAAACATTGAAACGCCTTCGAAAACCTAGGGAGCATCAAAATCTCTTGAGTCCCTCTTGGGGGTACTCTTGATGCCCTCTTGGGCCGTCTTTGGGAGCCTCTTGGGGACATCTTGGGGCCGTATTGGGCCGTCTTCGGGGCATTCTGGAGCTGTCTCGTAGCCCTCTTGGCCCGTCTTGGAGCCGCCGTGGGCCGTCGCGGGACTTCAAAGACCCCCGAAGGAGGGGGCGGGCAAGGAAACGGTCGTGCCAGGCTAGCTCCCCCTTCAAATCTGCAATTTTGGTTCCGGTGGGGAGATGCAGGGGGTGAGTAATCGCACACGCCTCGAGACCCCACTCGGCGGATTATGGACGGCATCTCCATGCTGCTAGGCAAGGGTAAGGGCAAGGGCAAGGACGGCAAGGGCAAGGGCAAGGACAAGGAAAAGAAGGGGAAAGGGAAGGGGAAGGGCCCCTACGCGGACCACTACTACGTGGACGGCAAGATTTACAACTTCGCCGAGTGGAAGCTCATCCATCCTGGCGGCGACCTCTTCTTCGCCCCTGCGAGCCAGCGTGACATCTCTGCGGCGGTGCACGCGTACCACGAGAACCCGGAGAGGCTCAGGCCCATCCTGGACAAGTACGAGGTGAAGCTCCCCGAGGGCAAGGAGCCGCGGGACATCTTGGTGAAGGATCTGGGCGTTCCGACCTTTATCCTCCCACCGGACTTCGACGCCGTGAAGCACGTGCCCATCTACGACTGGGAGGGCAAGGGCTTCATGAAGTCGCTCCGGAAAAAGATCACCACCCCCGAGATGAAGAAGCGGGTGCGGCGCGCGGACTTCTGCTTCGACGTCGTCGGGGCCGCCCTCTTCGCCCTTCACATTCTCGTCTCCTTCCCGGTGCTCGCCTACGGCATGCTGCCATGCTGGCTCTGGGTCCTTCTGCAGATCGTCCTCCGCCAGGCTGTCGCCGGCCTCGGGCACTACCACTGCCACCGCGCGAAAAACGGCATCCTCGACTGGGGCGACGCCCTCTTCGATCTGCAGTACATCGGCGCCAGCGTGATCCTCACGGACGGCCACGTCATGCTGCACCACCTGTACACGGAGACGCCCGCCGATGTCAAGCGCACGGTGTTCAATTTCATGCTGACGCTCCCGCGCCTGTGGCGGCTGCCGCTCTTCACTGCCCAGAAGTTTGGCGAGTTCTTCAGCGGACACCTGTTCCGCATCGGCCTCATGCTGCCCTGCTACGAGGACGCCGAGAAGTGCATCCAGAAGGAGCTTCAGATCAGATTCGCCCGTTTCTACATGCTCGGCGAGCTCTACTACGCCTACCGCACAGGATACCTTCACTGGTGGGCCGTGCAGTTCACGCTGTGCGTGTGGTGCAGCATGTTCCAGATCGTGGCGTCCCACGACTTCGAGGTTGTGAGGGAGCAGGACGAGCACCGCGGCATGGACTGGGGCATCCATCAGGTGACGCACGCCCTCGACACGTACATCACAGGCATCCGGTGGGTAGACATTTGGTTGTCTGCAGGCCTGAGTTGCCACAGGGTGCACCACGTGCTCCCCTACCAGCGGTCCGGCTTCGCGAACATCGTTTGTGAGGACGCGGTCAAGGAGACCTGCAAGGAGTTCGACATCGAGTGGATGCCCACCAGGAACCTCCTCCTGGACCGTTTTTTCCCGCTCATGTACTACTACATCACCGCGCCGGCACAGATCCCCGCCAACCCGGCGCCGATCATCATCGGTGGCGACCATGGTTGGAAGGGCTTCGTCAAGGAGCACCTGAGCATCGCCGCGATTCTGAAGGGCTTCCAGGACGTCGGCAGGGGCTTCCTGGGCGAGTCCATCTGAAAGTCGCGAGTTGGGACTGTATGTTTGTAGCGCCCTTCTCTGCCTGATCGCCTTCGTCCTCCTGCGCATCCTCATCTCCTCTAAGCTGCCTTCGGGCCAGAAGCCGATGTTTGTGCCCTCCCTGTAGAGACTGCAGGGTCAAACGGGCTCTTGCCATTCGGTGCGCTGCAGCCTCTTTTGTTGTATCATGTTTCTTGCCGCACGGCGAGGGCGGCGGTTGGGCAGTCCCGCAGTTCAATCGTTGTTGCCGTAGTAGCGCTCTATTTCTCAGCAGCACGCCCAGACATGTAGGATGTCTGACTGACGGCCGTAAGTGCTGTCGCCTAGTTGGCCATGTCTTGCAGATGCAACCAGTGTCTAGGGTTGCTTGCGCAGAGTGCACGTGTCGTGCATCATGCAAAAACCATGTTTGCCCGATAGCGAATTGAGGAGTTTTCCCAACTAGTCCATATTGCACGATCTTGCAGTCCATCTTGGCCTATCTGGACCCAAGTTGGAGTCATGTGCTCTACACTGTTCGAAGTCCGCCCAAGGGCTCAAAGCGATTGGCCATCGCTATACTCTAAGAATAGTTTCCCTGCTTCCTGCGGCACACTCCGCGATCAGGCCAGCGCATCAGCGCAGCACGAAGGAGGTTGAGTTTAAGACCTGCTTATGTTTTACACCGTGACGACAGTTCCACGTTTGGGAGTCTTAGGGGCCAAACAGAGACGACAAAGGAGGAGATTGGTGAGAAAGACTTCGTAGTGTGTTTCATGTGTGATTTGTTTAGCCGTTGCCGAAAGCCGCCCCAGATTAGAAACATCAAGTGGTATCCTGTAATGGGAGGGCGAAAAGTGACGGAAGTTCTATATTCGGGAACTTTGGTTGCAAAAAAGTGGCGACCAACGAGGAGGACAACGAACATGTGGATAATCAGTAGTATGACTTCGGATTGGTGTTTATAAAACAGAGTGGCCTGGACATTTTCTGTGATCATGAGAACCATGTGGCCTGTGCAGCCGAAGCTAAGTAGATCCGAGGTCAACTTTGATGGTGGTGATGTTCCGCCGTTGCCGATAGCCGCGTCGGAGTACAAACATTCCTGCGTTTCGGAGCACAAGGAACCCGACAGCGACGAGAGTTTTCACGCTCGGGGGCACCAGGTGCTAGTCTTGGTGAAAATACGGTCAGGAACTTTTGGATACCGTGTCGCTCCGCCAGTTCTGGCCCACCACGCTTCGGCGCGACATGATATCCATTTCCCAGCCCCCAGGCTTCGACGTCCCTAGAGTTTACCGACCTCCCACCCCCCGAAGCGAAGCGACATGTTATCCGCTCGCATCGGATGGCGTATCGCTGGGGCCGCCGCAGCGACACGCTAAGCAAATATTCCCAACTGTAGGATGGGCGGGAAAACGAATGCTGAGCCCACTTCGCGGTGTTTCTCACGCGAGGCGTCTGTGCCGAGTGCCATGGTTCAGTACTCCAGTCACCGTGACTGGGCCAGTGCCGCTCTGGGGCCAGACCATCTCCTCGTGGAGGAGGAGGAGGTTCGAGTTTGAGGAGGATGAGCCTTGGGGCGCGAGCGGGCGGGAGCCGCAGGAGGAGAGCAGACCCCAGCTGCCCCGCGAGCGGGCGATCTCGACGCGGGCGACAAGAAGGCTTGCGGGGAAACGGCGGGCTCGAAGCTTGCGCACCGTCGTCGCCCTCCTCTCACCCCGCCGTTGCCTGACACAGAGGTCAGGGAGGGACAGAAGGTCTCTCCTCCTCCCTCCTTTTTGTTGACGTTGCACGGAAATGGATCTGGGATCGTTGCGCCCTGGGTGTGCAAGAAAGGTATTGGAAGCCGATGTAGGCCGATAGCAGACACATTGAGCCTGGCGAGCGCAGCAGAGATGGCAAGAACTATTGAAACGAAACAAGTAACAGGGCCCCAAAGGGCTATGCGCCCGCCAGGCCGCAATGTGGAGTGGGGTCAAGAGCCGATATCCAAAAACCTGAGACCCAGAGGAGGATGCCGTGCAGAGTGAACGACGTACGCGTGCAACAGACTTAGAGGTCTGAACTCCCCTGGTGCTGCCAGACAGTCAGAGTAGAGTGAGGCTCGTCCCCTTCCACTTTAACCACCTCCCAGTCCCCCAAGAAGAGCGAACGTAGCCTAGGCTAGACACGCTGCAAGACAATAGCAGCAACAGGGCAGGCGACTGCAGATATGAGTGAGGTGGGTGTTTAGGCTGGCCCTGTAGGCTGGCCTGTGGTGCTCAACCGTGGCCCGTGCTGCAAGCAGTTGTAGATTACAGCTCTGGGCGAGCTTAAACCTAGTATGACAGCTGGCCAGTTGGAGACCACAGTGGGCTGCAGACCACAGTGGGAAGCGGCTTCCCCTCCCGTCGGGAGCTGTAGGTAGCGCAAGCGGGGCCTGAAATATTGTGGGGAAGGGGCCACGCCATGTCTCCAGGGGGACCTGAAAGATTGCAGTAGTCCTCTAACCTCAATATCTTCAATCTTCCACCCATGATAAGCACCGCCCAGTCCCCCAAGTAGAAGCGAATATAGCCCAAGCTAGGCGAGCCGCAGAAGGAAATAACATTGACTGAGCAGGCGACTGTAAGCTGAGGTGAATTTTAGGCTTGCACTGTAGGCTGGCCTGTGATGCGTAGTCATGGCCTGTATGGAAGCTGCTGTAGATTGCAGTTGTGGGTAAATTTGAGACCTAGTGTGACGGCTGGCCTGAAAGGCTTGAGGCAGGAGAAGTACGTGAGGGAAGCCTGAAAGATTGCAGTAGCGGGGCCGCGCCCTGGAGCCCAGGAAGGCCTGAAAATTTGAAGTGAACCTCCTGTCTCCATAACCTCAGAAGATAACCTCTCTCCATTCCCTCTCTATCAGACAAGAAAGTCACTTGTACCGGCAATCGAGGCTGAAGCTGCAAATGAGCTGTGAAGAGAGTGCAAGCGTGGCGGCAATTTCTCGGCTGCTACTCAGGGTTTTACGGTTCCCCCCGAACCGCCAGGGTCCCATGATTTCGTCAATTGTTTTCGGGTTAAGCACGAACAATTCATAGGCTGGCGCAGTGTAGCTTGGCTGGCCTATGTGGCTGGTGTGACACACACATATATACATATACATATGTATATATATATGGCGAAGCGCTGGCGAGGTTACAGCATTCGAGGCTTACGCAGTAAGATGAGCTGAAGAAAGAGAGTGTATGGTAAACGTGATGTATATATTAGTGAGCTGAGCTTGAGGCTGGCGCCGGGCTGGCGCATGTACAATGGCTGGTCTGTCCAGGAGTGCAAATAGAGGTAACGAATACTGCGGGCTTAAAGTATGGGGCTAAACGGTAACAGCGTCCTCCTCCTCCTCCACCGATCAACCAAGCCGCCAATCTCCACCCTTCCGTCGGACAGTAAAGGAGCAGTCAACGATTGTAGACTAAACGTGCTCAGCGTGATGATACGTGGGGGGGCAAGGCGCTGTGGAATCTCCTACCCCCCACATGGCCCTCCAGCAAGCAGCAACGATCCAGGAGGAGGAAGAAGGAGCAGGCGCCGTACCGAGCCAGCGCCACAGCGAGGGGTATGTGCCTGGCATCCGCACGCGGACACCGGGCCCCCTCTCCATCCCCCGTGCCACCAGCAGGGGAAGGCACCCGTGGGGGGAGGAGAGGCCAGCGGCCCAGCGGAGCCGGAAAGGTGAGAGAAGAGAGGAGGGACAAACGACAGCATGATGGGCCATTGGGCAAGTCATTGCTCAGCGGGTACGTAAAACTCAATCGTAGAAAAACATGCTCGAATACCAAAGTTTGAAGTTGAGCAGACGCGTGTGTAGCAAGTGGATGGAGTGAAGCAGACAGGTGGACTATCACGGCCGCGGGGGAACATGCCAACCGATACAGAGCTGAGTGCAAGCAAACTTTATGAGGAGATAAGTGGCAAAGCAGGAGTCCTCGATCTTCCGTAACTGATGTCCTGAAAGCCGTTGATGTGGAACATGTGAGGTCGTATACTAGCCCAAGTATCCGCCGCATCTGCGCAGTAGGTAGGACACCTATCCTATTTGAAGCCACCGATGCACTGGTAGAAAGTGATGGTGTCGTGGAAACCGATGTTCTACACCCAGTAGTCTCCACCGTCTGCGTGGCGGGTAGGGAACTTTGGTTTAGGTGTAGGTGGAGCTTTGCAGCTGGGTGTAGGGAACGTAGGCTTGGGCATGGTCGGTGTTGCCAGTGCTGCGTAATTTCATGGCGCTGCTGTGATTATCCGTTGTGTATGTTGCGTTATCGCACTTCTTCCAGCAATTGCTGGTACTGCTGCTGGTGGTTCCGAGTTGTTCCCAAGTGTTGTAGGAATCGTTGGTCGTTGCTGCCCTCTACATGCAGTGGTTCAATGTGTCCAGCGTGTTAGGGGTATACATGTTGAGCCCGTCTGTCCGTCTTGTAGTTTGGTAGGTGGTGCTTTTGGCCGACATCAGATTTGGAGGGTCGCAAAGGTTTGTGGTGTTAGCTATGTTGTTGATATATCGGTGAGCCAGAGCTGTGCTGCTGCTGTTTTAGGTGGTGGGTGGACAGATCACTGGGATCTTGAGTCTTGGCGGGGGTGGGTGTATCGGGCTTCGTATCACTCTGGTGGTATTGGTATGCTGTGCTGTTGGTGTGTGTGCTTGTTGATTGTTGGATTGGCGTGATCGTAGCTGTCGGTCGTGCAGCACGGTAGCCAGTTGGTGCAAGTTGTGGGGTGTTGCCTGGCTGGTCGTCGTTGTCGGTGGACTTCGATGTGGATGATGGGGGCCTGCAGTATTTGTCGTGTTTTGTTCTGCAGTGCATATCACTCTGACTGCAGATTTGCTGTAGGAGCCGTGTTGCGTCGTGTATACGGAGTGACCAATCATCTTGCATGTCGTCGTCGCAGTCGTGACAAGGGTGGAGCAATTGTGATCATGTGATGACGGCGGACGGCGGCTTGTTTGGTCACTGTGTTCATGGTTGCCGTAGGTGTGTTGAATAGGGTGGAAGCGCCTCTGTTGGTTGGGTTGACTGTTAGTCTGAAGTATTCGTTTTGCCTGTAATGCTGTGCGAAGTCTTGTATCCTTCGCCCTGGCTCACTTTGTGGTGCTTCGTCTAGACGTGGTCGCGCTGGTGGAAGGTGTGTGTGTGTGTGCGTGTGTGTGTGTGTGTGTGTGTGTGTGTGTGTGTGTGTCTGCCGGCCAGGCGTCCTTGAATACTATGCTAAGTTGGAAGGACATTAGTGGCGTAGCGTTTGCATCTGATTTAAGTGGTGGGTGCGGCAATACGTACGGGTAAGAGTTGTTGATGAAGTTCTCGCGAGTGTACTTGTCAACGTACCTATGCCATCCAACCACTACTAGGAGGTCGTTCGGGAAGCGGTACGTATAAGTGTTGTCGCTCTCCCTGTAGTAGACTGCGTGGTACCAGCTGTCCTCGTCGCTGTCTTCGTCGCTGTAGTCGTCCTCGGCTCTGTACGCTTTCCAGCCTGGTGGACTGCATGTCATGTCCTTGGCTGAGAGGCAATGATTTTAGTGTAAAGGGCTTGGAGGCGTAACTGTAGTCATCGCCACTGCTTATCTGGTCACTGTCGTCATCGTCTGAGTGCTGTCCAGTAGTCTGTTGCTTCGCTTGAGCTGCTAGCTGTGCTGCAGTAGCTTCGTACTCAACCCAAGAGTTGGTTACCACAGGTTGCAGTTGTTTATCTGTTGTGACTGTGGCGGATGTTGGCATCTTCGACTTGAGTGGTGTCGTAGATTCATGTGCTGGTGCTGCTGGTGGTCGGTCACACGGTTACTTTCGGGTGGATGCTGGTCTGAAGTCGATACGAGATATGAATTGGTGTGGAGGTGGCGGCAGAGTGTGTGTTTGAGAATTATTTAATCGCTTCGCTCATTCCGCCGGCCCATAATGTCGCACCGTGGTCGCGTGTCCGAGTGGTCGTTTGCAGTGTGGAGCTGCGGCGTCGGGAGCTGTGTAGTTGTCGATAAATTTGTTAATGTTTTTTCATGGGGCTTCTAGGTGTTTGCAGTTTTTTGACGGCTTTGGTGCCATCGTGGGGGCGTGTTTCCCGTGGTATCCCGCTGTGGGGCCGTTCGAGCCGGGGGAAGAGACATCTTATGCGATAGGGGAACCCTCGTGTCGGAGGGTGGTGGGCTTTGAATGCTAACATTGGCTCTGTTATCGTCCTGATGTCCTCTGGCGTTGCGGACACGGGCGTGAAGGAACACTTTCTTGTGGCGTTTCTCTTACCATCTCTTTTCTAATTGGACCGGAGGAGGAGGACGACGACGACGAGGAGGAGGAGGAGGAGGAAGAGGAGGAGGAGGAGGAGGAGGAAGGAGGAGGGGGATGAGGAGCGATGAGGAGCGCCTTTGTCGTCGTCGTTGTTGTCGCCGCCGCCGCCGCCCGCCGCCGCCGCCCGCCGGCGTCGTCGTCGTCGTCGTCGTGGAAGGTCGAGGCTCGAGGCTGGAGGCCGAACGCGGGGGAGGAGGACCACCCCGACCCGCGTTTCCCAAGTCGCGTCTGGCTGGAGTCTTGGAGGCGTCCTGGGGGCCTCCTGAGGGTTTTTTGGGAGGCCTCCAGAGGGCCTTTTGGAGGCCTCTTGAGGCCTCTTGAGGGCCTCTTGGGGGCCTCTTGGGGCCTTTGAGGGCGTCT